CGCACCCACCCCCACACACACAGTCAGGAGCTGCTACCGGCTTGGCAGTCAGCCTGGCTCAGTCCCAGCTCGTGCCAGGCTCCTACTGCCTTTTAAATTGCAGATCTGTAGCGGGGATTGGTCCCAGCGTGACCTGGGAGTGAACTGGCTGCATTCCCCAATCAAGTAGTCGATAAAAACTCTATGGCCAACTCGATTGCTAAAATAACCTAATCTTAACATCCCTAATGCCCACCACTTCTTTTGGGAGCCTAGACTGTGTATGGGTCTTGACTAACTAAGACTATTCCATACCTTCCAAAGAAGGATAATCTTGAACTATTGATTGTCATCAGTGGCTTTCCATTTTTATCCTGTGAAAATGGCAAACCCTGCTCAGCTGACCAAAAAAAAAATTACATTTTAATAGTTGTATTGACATAATATTATCAGTATAAGACAAGGTAACTAATTTGTGTTTGGTTATAACAATTTACCTTTGTTTAAATGATTGTATGCAACCTATACAAATGACCAGGCATCAGCTAGAGATGTTAAGATCATATTGTGTGTGTGCATTTTAAAAGGAGCTCTTGCCTCACTCTTTTTTTTTTTTTTTTTAAATCTAGTCCAGTCAGTTCTCTCTTTCTGGCTGACCTTCTAAACCTTCTAGAGAGAGGAACGATTTCTTCTTCAGCAGCCAAACAAGTGAGTTTGTTTTGGACCTTCTGTACCTTTGAACTTGCCATTGCTTTCTTCATTTTCACAGTAAATCTCCCATGTGGAATCCATATGACTTCCATGGTACCGGTAAATTCATTTTATATTTAAAGCATCAAATATGCCAGACTTTTACTTGAGGTGGGGTGTATGCATATATGTATGTAAAATTTGGGGTTAAATAGTAGGGAGAGCCCTGAAACAAAACCCTAAATCTAAACATGCCTGAATTTTGGGCAATTTGGACTTGACACCACTAACCAGTACTCTCTGTAATCAAATCCCAAATTCTGAATGCTCCTGTACTATGGGAAGGTTAGAATTGACATCCATGTTTTAGTGGCTTGGTCCAGTCTCTGGTGAGAAGACTCTCTGATGAGGAACTTTCTACGTTATGGTTCTTAATAATCTGAATAGGAGCTGTGGTTGTAAGATGTCACATCCCACTGAATGGCAAAGGGCAAAACACAGCTTGGTTTATTGATAAAGATAAATGTGTGTCAAGTGCCCTGTGAGACTGAAAGAGAAGACTTGCCCTTTTGATAAGCCCATGACATTCTTAGATGCTTCTTAGGCAGGCACTGTAGACAGCCAGCTATTGTCTCTCGCTCTCATTCAGGCCACTCTCCCAAACCCAAGAAACTGTGCTAATCCTAATAATTAATTTGTATTAAGATAGTGCCTATGGAGGCCAGTCATGGATGAGGGCCCTCTTTTCTAGGCATTGAACAAACATATAACAGAGAGTGTCCTGGCCCCAAAGATAAACACCGGTCAAGGATGGTCTAGATGTTGCTTGGTCCTGCCATGAGGTCAGGGGACTGTATTTGATGACTTCTCAAGGTTCCTTCCAGTTCTGTTATTCTGTGATTCTATGCTTACAACTTCAGTACAAGACAAAACACATGTGGAGCACAAGGTAACAATGAGACAATGTCAGTAAGCATGATAGGCAGTGATCACAGTAGGAGAAAGCAGAAAGGTGCTTGTTTGAAAAAATTAACAATGGCTACTGACTGCTGATACTGTTGGCAGAGTAGAGGAAGGTGTTGATGTCACATCCGACAACAGTGAGGATTTTTGATGGGCTACTGGTAATTGCAAAAATATTGCTTCAACATCTGCTGATCTTTCTGGAATATAAACTGTAAAACTGTGAGGGGCAACAGCAACTTTTGTTTGAGTGTTAGCGACTATCACAATTTAGGGCCTAAGTTAATATAATTAATATCTATTTGTCTCTTTATCCTTGCAACTTTATACCTGTAGAATATTAAACAGATGCCACTGGATACACTCGTTAGTTTTTTATTGTAAAAGGGTCAACAATGAAATTAAGACATTTAACTCACATCATGTGGTTCCAGAGCTGAAGTTTTCAGATAAACAAGGGTAGGTGTTTGCATATTCATAAGAACATAAGAGTGGCTGCACTGGGTCAGACCAAAGGTCCATCTAGCTCAATATCCTGTCCTTCCTCCGAGGGAATGAACAAAACAGGTAATCAAGTGATCCTTCTACTGTCACTCATTTCCAGCATCTGACAAACAGGGACACCGTTCCTACCCATCCTGGCTAAAAGCAATTGATGGGCCTATCTTCCATGAATTTATCTAATTCTTTTTTTTTTAAGCCTGTTAAAGTCCTGGTCTTCCCAGTCCTCTGGCAAGGAGTTCCACAGGTTGACTGTGCATTTTGTGTGTAGAAATATTTCCTTTTGTTTGTTTTAAGCCTGCTACCTATTAATTTCATTTGGTGATCCCTAGTCCTTGTGTTATAGGAACAAGTAAACAACTTTTCCTTATTCACTTTGTCCTCATTAGTCATTCGATTTCATAGATCTCTATCATATCCCTCCTTACTCTCCTCTTTTCTAATCTGAAAAGTCCCAGTCTTTTTAATCTGTTCTCATATGACAACCATTCCAAACCTTTAATACAGGAGTGGGGAACGTCAGGCCCGGGGGCTAGATGTGGCCTCTGACTTGCCTGGATCCGGCTCCCGAGGCTCAGCCCTCCCTGCATTGGGGAGCCTGTGCTGGTGCTCCATTTTCCCCTTCTCCCCACTGTCTCACCACAGGGCTGGAGCACATAAAATCTACTAGGCTGGGCTCCCTTAGGCTCTGGTGTACAGGTAGAATGTGGGGAGTGTCTTTCTGCTTCTCAGTCGGACAACATGTCAGAGTTTTTTGTGTGCAGCCCCTGACTGATTTCTGTGGGTTAGTGGCTCCCTGACCCAAAAAAGATTCCCCACCCCTACCTTAATAATTTTTGTTGCTCTTTTCTGAACTTTTTTCAATCCCTAGATATCTTTTTTTGAGAGGAGGAGACCACATTTGCAGACAGTATTCAAGATGTGGGCGTACCATGGATTTATACAGAGGCAATAAGATATTCTCTGTCACATTCTCTCTCTCTCTCTCTCTCTCTCTCTCTCTAAATTATTCCTAACATTTTATTTGCTTTTTTTCACTGCTGCTACACATGGAGTGGATGTTTTTAGAGAACTATCCACATGCTTCCAAGAACTTTCTCTTGAGTGGTTATAGCTAATTTAGTTTCCATCACTTTGTCTGTAGAGTTGGCATTGTGTTTTCCAATGTGTATTACTTTACATTTATCAACATTAAAATTCATTTGTTATTTGGTTGCCTAGTCACCTAGTTTTGTGAAATCCTTTCGAAGTTCTTCAGTCTGCATTAGATTTCACCATCTCAACTGGTTTGTATCATCTGCAAATTTTGCCACCTCACTGTTTATCCCTTTTTCCATATCATTTATGAATATCTTGAATAGGATTGGTCTCTGTATGGACCCCTGCAGGACATCACTAGTTGCCTCTCTCCATTCTGAAAACTGAATTTCTTCCACCTATTGTTTCATTCTAGCTGTAGATTTGGAATCGAATTAGTGTCTGTTCAGTTTTGCATGGTTGACTTTGCATCAAAAAAATTGTTATAAAGAGAGGCCAAGAGTTCTGAGTCAGGATTCTTAAAGTTACATTAAACTGGCCTGATTTTTGGTGGAGCTTGAAATGTCTTAGTTCATAATTAAGCCAGTCAGCGTTGTGGTTGCTCAATTCCTTCTGAAAAGTAAGACACTTTTCTTCATGAACACATGTTTGGAAATGGTCTTAAAAAATAAAGTTTGTAATGGGTAGAAAAGAGTGAGAATACTTAGAGCATATGGATATACAGAAATTTTGTGTACATGGTTTTTGAGAGCATTCGTCAGCCTCGTGCTTAAAATTCTGAAGAGGAACATCAGAGTTTGATTTTTAGCTCTTGTGGTGGTGTCTAAGAAAGTAAGTTTGTTGTTTTAATGGAGCTTTTAGCATTTCAATTTATTTATAAACAGGCAGTTTTGATAGGTTAAAGTGAGGCATTTCAGAGAGATTGCATCTTCAGCTTAATCACTAGCTCCTTCTAATATATGTATTGTGCTCTATGTTCTGAATTCAGACACAGAGTAATAATAGTACAGTTTGCCCATCACTGAGGGATGCTGTCAAACCTTGCCACATTTAGAAAAGTATTTTGGTTGCCTAGAATAAGAATAACAAATGTTTATAAAATTTCTCTGCAGCAGGCAGAGATATTGGATGCCCTGAGGACAAAAAGGGCTATATATACACTACAGCAGATGCATTGCAGCATTCGAGGTGGGTGGGGGGAATTAACTGCAGTATTGAAGACAGATCCAACAATAAAAGATGGAAGGGTTTGAGCAAATAGTCATGCATATGCATACGTTTGTACTGCAGGAAGTGCCAACAGTTTCAATTTTTCAGAAGTCTGTGCTCACTTGCAGTTGTACAAGGCAGCAAACTTCTCATAGATGAAAAATTGTGAACACTTTTTAAATGTGAAATGTTACATAGTGGATATTGTATGTCAAAGAAGAGACCCTGCTAGAGGATGCTGTTATGTAATTTGAGCATACAAACCAAATTTTGTCTTAAAAAATAGTGTGCCTGCTAATCAAAGCTAACCATTGCATGTGGACTATACAAAATTGTTCAGCAAGTTTATAGCTTGGTTTGACCAGTGAATGTGAATGAATGAAAATAATTTTACATTGTTTTTAGACCAGACATTTCTATAGGCTATAACAACATTTAAAAAAAGAAAACTTTGAGTGAGATGAGGCCACATTTTTCACCTGTCAAATCTGTCAGGGTTTTTCTATAAACTGCATGGGCAGCCAATGACCTCACCGCCAGGGGAGGCCAGCGCCTGGCTCTTCCCCTTGTGCCCCCCTGGTCTACCTCCCTCACAGCCACAGGTGCCCAAAGCATGCCCACTGCAGCCCATGACCCTGGCACTGCTCAACTAGGAAGCCAGCCCTAGCCCTGGTGTGCTGCAGCTTCAATGCCCACAGTATCTGGGTGGCACAGCCACTGCACCCACAGCCCCAGATTCCAGTTGTGTCTGTCAGTGTCCCACTGAGACATGGAGACCGTGGCATGAGCTGGCAACTAGTCTGCCCACATCACAGCATCTGCTTAAGGAGAGATTTTTTCAGCTGAAGGCCAGGAGGTGGTAAAATGTATAAGCACACACAGATTACAGAAACTCCTATAGTGGTGCTCTATCATCTCATTGTACAAGAGCCTTCAAAACTGGCCAGAACTAGAGCCAATACATGTTCAGTATGGAAAAGAGTATGTGCGCGTGCGCGCGCGCGCACACACACACACACACACACACACACACACACACACACACACACATATTTTACCATGTGTTTCATGTTAGAATGAATCCACAGAATCAAACCAAACCAGATGAGAGTTTGAAACGTCTGGAAATGGGGGATTTTACTTGTTTTAAGGCTTTCCATGAGAAACTTGTTTTAAGGCTTTCCAGGCTTGCTTGGAAGTGCTATGCATCTGTCAGTGTACCTGAGGGCTCTTTCATGACAACAACAACATGCTTGGCAGCGTGGGTCCATAGCTCTGAAAGTCCATGGCCACATTGCATGGCTTGA